GAATAAAGCAAAAAGGACTCCTCTGTCTCCTTTTTGGACATAAACCTCTGGTGTTTGTGGATTAATTTTCCTGACATTTAGGATACCCTTAAGATATGTAGGTGCACCACAGATCTTCCAAGCCCACTGTGAGAAGCAGCTCAGCAGATGCAGGACTGTGTAGTCTTTTACACTGCTGGTGAGGGTATTTGGAGATGCTGTGGCTGTGGGGCCACATTTGCTCACCTATTTTTTCTTGAACTACAGAGGCATGACCACTCTGGGACAACATTTATTTTCTAGACTGCACTACCACATAGCTTCTCAGACTGTGGAGCAAAACTGCTCAGAGTAGCTCCAGCTGTGGAATTTGAAAGAATTTTTACTTCATACAGAAAACTGACATCCTCTTAGGTTTTATGAGGCACCTGTAGTAACACTATTAAGCACCTCAACTAGACAGAAAATTTGTATCATCACAGAGAGAAGTGAACCTCAGAAATGACCCCTTTTGAAATGCTAAAACACTTTTTTACTCATTTTTACTTTTCTTAGGTATCTTTCTCAATATTATTTTTTCCATGCTAACTGTACAATAACCACACCAACTAAAGGTGATTCATGTATAAGAGAAAACCCATTTTTTTGACCCTTGAAGCTTAGGAATGCTTTTAAAATCATTACTCAAACCTTTTGTTGACTATTTTCTTATGTATTTCAACACAGGCCTCTTATCTGCAATCTGGGGAGTATGTACAGTGTGTGTCCACCGTGGCAGCTCCCTGGGGCGTGGTTCCCTCCTATGTAAATATACATATTCCCCTCATGGATTGCACTGCACCCCTAAGGTCACTCCTGCTTTTCAGTACTCCAGATACCTCTGATACATCAGGGGTGATACAAACCATTACTGCCCTGGGAGGGCACAATTATGCCATTTCTCATTTGCACGTTTTTGGCTTGTACCAGTATTTATGTATTTTTTGGGGCGTGGCAGGGGATAGCGCTGCTGTGTAGGTACTGATAAAGGAAAGACAGATATACTTCTGTGTGGCACGAATGTCTGTTACACAAAAAACTGCTAAGAGAAAAGTCACATTTATAACTCTATTTTGGATACTGACAGGAACAAATTCAGCTGGTACATACTGGGCATTTCCATCACTCTGTGAAAACAGAGGCTTTTCTGCCTAGAATTGGTGCACACCCTACCACGCCCAGATGAGATTTCTGCCTCTCCAACCCAATGAATCATACACGTTGCACTGCTAAACAACTGCTGCAGGAGCTGAAGCCTGGCCTGCAACACTCCAGAGCATCGGCCTGTTTGCTGTTGCTGTGAGAGACATTTGTGGAATATTTCTGGTGGAGATTATACACAGAATTAATTGCATGTGCAATTAGTTAATCTGTTGCTGGGTAAGCGTGTGAGTGCAGCCAGGATGAGCCCTGATGGCTGGTCCTGCCTGCTGGCCTCCCACTCTCCTCCATTGTGCCCCCTGCATTGGTGAGGGGTGAGGCTGGCAGTGAGCACTTTGAGATTTGGGCCCCTCGAGATTAGAGTTCCTCAAGATTTGAACCAAACTTTGCAATATTGTTTGTTGTTTTGTTTTTGGTTTTTGTTGTTGTTGTTAATCAGTAGCTGTAGCTGAACAGCTGTGATTAAGCAATTGCACTGTGAATGTTGCACGCTTTTGTTTTGAGGAAAAGAGAAGACAATCCCAAGATGAATGGACTCTCTGGATGAGATCTGCCAGGATCGAGGTCAGCAGGACTGGGCAGTAACTGAGGGAAGGTAATTCCAGGAGTGGATGACCGTGACCACTGCCTCATTGACCACCAAACCCCCACTCAAAGGCAGGGAAAAACCACGCTTGCAGACTAGTACTTATCTTGGAGAAGCAAGAGATACAACTAGCAAATAGGAGTTTGAGTACTAATTAGGAGAAAAGTTTTACAACTTACAGCCAACAAATGCTGATGCCTTTGTTTGTTAAAAGGTGTAGAGGTCTGATGGTCACACAGCCAGCCTTTCGTGGGTTACTTCCTGAGTCCCTGCTTTGAGCAAACTAGAATAACAGACAGAATATACAGCGTCATAGACTCGTTAGGGCTGGAGGGGGCTTTTGGAGACCATCCAGTCCAACACCCCTGCTCTCAGCAGGGTCACCCAGAGCAGGTGACACAGGAACATATCTAGTTGAGTTCTGAATGGCTCCAGAGAGGGGCACTCCACAACCTCCTCGGACAGCCTCTTCCAGCGCTCTGCCGGCCTCAGCATCACGCAGCTCTGCGCCAGGCCAAGCGGAGGTGCAAGAGGCGGTTCCGGCCCGTCCTCAGCCCGAGTTCCGCTCCGTGTGAGGGAGCGGGGGCGGGGCGTCCCACAGACCACCCCCCCCCCCCCGCGGCCCCGCCCCAGCCCCTCACCGGCCCCGCCGAGCCGCCAGGGGGCGCTGCTGCCGCCGCAGCCGCCGCTGCCGGTGCCGCCGCCGTCGCCGCCGAGGCCGAGGCCGCGGGGCCGCTGCAGGAGCGCACGATGGAGGCGCCGCCGGTGACCATGATGCCCGTCACGGGCGGCACCATCAACATGATGGAGTACCTGCTCCAAGGTAGGCGGCCGCGGGACCGGGCAGCGCGGGCAGCCGCGGGCAGCGGCGGTAGGGGCTGGCGCCGCGCACGGGCGGGCCGGAGGGCGCTGGGGCGGGCGCGCTGCGGAGGGAGCCCAGCTCGGCCTCGGCGGGAGGCGATGACCGTGGCGCTGTCTCCGCAGGGAGCGTGCTGGACCAGAGCCTGGAGAGCCTCCTGCACCGCCTGCGCGGACTGTGCGACAACATGGAGCCCGAGACCTTCCTGGACCACGAGATGGTGTTCCTGCTGAAGGGGCAGCAGGCCAGCCCCTTCGTGCTGCGCGCCCGGCGCTCCATGGACAAGAGCGGGATGCCCTGGCACCTGCGCTACCTGGGACAGCCTGAAATAGGCGACAAGAACCGCTACGCGCTGGTGCGCAACTGCGTGGACATCGCCACGTCCGACAACCTGACGGACTTCCTGGTGGAGATGGGCTTCCGCATGGACCACGAGTTCGTGGCCAAAGGGCACGTGTTCCGCAAGGGCATCATGAAGATTGTGGTGTACAAGATCTTCCGCATACTGATGCCAGGAAACACGGAGAGCATTGAGCCGCTCTCCCTCTCCTACTTGGTGGAGCTCAACGTGGTTGCGCCAGCAGGGCAGGACATTGTTTCTGATGACATGAGGAACTTTGCTGAGCAGCTGAAGCCTCTCGTACACCTGGAGAAAATTGACCCCAAAAGACTAATGTGATTGAAAATCCGGGCGACTAGATTAAGGCAGTGGTTTTGTTCTTCAGAAAAGGATGTTTTTCTAAAATGCTTTCTGTAGGCAAATCAAACTAGGGAGAAGGTAATAAAGAACTACGTATAAGTTTTGTCAGTTGCAATTACTGAGTATTTTTTTCCTTCACTTGTGAATATGAACAAAAGTGGACACTTTAACACTGTTCAAAAAATCAGTAAATGTTAATACTGATAGTTTTCCTTTTCTTTTGTGGGAGATAGGCTTTTTAAGGTATTGCCTAACACTCTAAAAATGTCAACTTACTGGAATTCATCCCTCTGTGTACCCAGATCCCACTGCTGTCTTAAGATTTTTTAGAGCACCATTTGTGTATCCTACCTAGTCATCCAAAATTTTTCTTTTCAGTAATAGATGACGTTAATTTCTTAATTTTAATTTTTTTAATGCAGGAGATGCTGTTTCACACAAGCATAAACACAGGAACTGCTGTATAAAAGAGCAACTAACTGTACACCTCTTCACCAAAGCTTATATGACAGGAACAGCTACTTGTTAGGGAAACTGTTTCTTCTGATGTAACCAAAGTTAGAAGAGGAGGAAAATCTAGTAATATTAATATTTGCAAGTGGTTTTCACATATTTTAACAATGTTCCATTATTTCCACTGGAATTGGTTAGGACAGTCTTAGTTAATAAGAAAGTAAATTACAAGGTACTTTTTATTACTGAATTTCTCACAGCAATATGAAATATTGAAGTGTTAGGTGCTTTTTATTTAAAAAGTCACAATTTTTCATTAAAAATTTATTACAATTTATAATTTATTTATAATTTATAAACAAATTAGCAGCTGCTAGTTGAGTTACTGATGATTTTGCTTAGCACCTATCTTGATAGTAGGATGTTTAGTTACCCTAGTATTGCAGTGATAATTCAGTGTTATTTGAATTAACTGAAAGAGTTTTCAAATACAATTCAGTAAAAAAAAGGTTGGGAAAGACAAAGTAGCTCATTTAAATTTCTCAGGTTCTTTACAGAGGTCGACCCTTTTACCCACTGCTAAAGCCTATCAACCCATCGCCACCTTTCAGCACTTTATGAAACAAGGCAGGGACCACTCTCAGAAAAGCTTCAAAACGTTTTAAATAAACAGCTACATCTTTAACTGGATCAGCGCTAACATCCCATTGTCACAGGCTCTAGGGTGCTAGGGCAGTACTTGAGCACCCTCAGGCTGAAGACAGAGCAGTCATTTCCAGCAGGGCAGCAGGGACGCGTCACCAGCGTGGCTGCTCATTACCTGTAGTACAAGTATTTTCTGGAGGGTACAAACACACCGACAATTCTGTTTATACTTGGCCATGACGCCCTCACCAAGACAGCACGCTATCCTGGGCCTCTGAGCTGGAATTCCTTCATATACAGGGCATAACTTCCTCGGGGCTGCATGTGCCAGGCTGCTCCCAGCAAATGGGAATCCTCAGGGCTCTTGTCATATTTTGCCGTTCTTAGCACTGGTTAGGAATCACTTGTGACAGAATTGTACCGTCTGTAGCTTGTGTCTTGGCACGCAAAAGTTTGGGAAGTCTTGTGGATAACAATAGGTCCAACTATTGATTGATCCAAATTAATAAATAATTAAAAAGCCGTTATTTTTAAGGAGAATTAGTTTAAACCCAGACAACTGCAGCAATCCATAGTACCAGGCTTCCTTATGCTGGCTGTAGTCCATGTGCAGAGAGAAGAGCTTACTGCATCAATGGCTTCAGCTGGAGACAATTTCAGGTTGCTAATGCTCAAAGTGTGTCCCTTTCTTCTAACAAAATGTACTTTTCTCCTCCTATAAAACTTAGCTGATAAAAGGCGGAGACTGAAGATGATTAGGATTAGTGATACACACCAGTTAATTGCCTGGCATAGCCCTAATTATCATTCATCATCCAGGGTGAGATTACATAGTTACACAGAAATGCTCGATCTCTCCTTACTGGGAAGTATGTAATTTTTAAATTATGCACGTAAGTTATGGGACCATGAATGTGAATTGTGACCTTTTAATTTTTTTTTTAATTTGGGGGATTTATTTTTGCTAGGAAAAATAGCTGCATTTTCTAAGGTCAGAGGTTACCTTAGAACTCTCGATTTTTTGCAGTATATTACAAGAGGCCTGATACAGCTGATAAGTTTTGTTTCTGTTCAAGTAATGCCTTCTGTTACTTCAAACTGTTCCTCCAGTGTTGCATACCTGTAAGGTTTCTACAATTTTACTGATTGCAATATAAAGAAGTAGAAATCACTGTGCAACAAATAAAGGTAGGGTTGTTATTGATCCATTACACACCACCTACTTCTGCTATTAAGAAAACTTGCTCATGGAAGCTCATCTCAGTTACTAAAAATTATTCTTACTTTGGAAAAGCCATAGGCTTACCCTTTAGCACATCTGAGCCCTGGATTGCTGTTCTTCCCATGGAAGTGCTCTGTATTATGACTGCACTGTACCAGGAGCACCTTTTAACACCCCTCTGATTTTGCAAAAAATGAACTTCTCAATATATAAACTAACATGGCATGCAGGTTTTGATCTCAGTAACACAAGTAAACTGCCTTCTCGTTAAATGTTTTCCATGCACTAGAATATTGTATATAACTTTATTAATGATCTAAGAGTTGGTTATGGGTAAAATATTTTAAGTTTCTTCAAATATTAGAAAGTTAAAAATAACGAGAAGCCAAGATTTTTCTTCATAATTTTTAATACTTTTAACTTTTAAATAATGGTTTTAAATTTGTGATTGTAACATGTAAGAGCCAACTTCTTTTAATTTTTAAAACTTATCATTAGGATCATAAAGCTATTATAGAACAGTTACAACTCTACACACTCAAGGTACTCAAAAATATGATTCATGTTTTAAGTCTGTAAATGAACAGTGGCAATTCAAATACAGCATTATCTGTACAACTTGACAAAAATACAGGTGGACAATCTGATTAAAGAGAATCTGCACAACTTCAGATAAGCCAGCTCAGCCCAATAAAGTAAAAGGTAAGGTTTTTTCAAAGTGCATCACATTTTTCAGATAAATTTGTCAAAGATTTTCAGGTTCTCAGAATAACAATGACCATCTCATTTTCATTCCCAGTACAAGTTCTATCAGGTCATGTCCTTCAGATCTAGTTTGGCAACATCCAAATTCTCTAAACAGATGCAGATATCCAGAGAATGATATCTGATGATTGCTGCAGTTTCAGCTTTTTGAACTGGTTCAGCTTATAAAACAACCATTCTAGAGTCAGAAGCTGCTTCTGCAAAGACCACTACAGCTGCATTAATACTCCTGATCTATTAACAGGAAGAAATGAACTCAAGAGTGCACAGACCTGGCAGTGACTGACAAGAGGGATGGGCTCAAGAAATTGTATAAAACCATTAAAGCAACATCCCTTCCAGAAGAAAGGATCTAATGGCTACTCACACAAGGACAATCTGAGAGGCCTACTGCCTTTTGAAATTATTTTTCCAGAGGTCCATTAATAATGATTATGAGAAGACTGAGAAGTCATGTAACTCCTTCCATAATCTTTAAAAAACCTCTTACAAATCTGATTGGGCAGGGCTAGCTGCAGTGAAGTACCAGTGCCTTTATCTAAAAGTAAAACATACTCTTTACAAATAGTATCTGTAGTGTCATTTTATTTACAGAATAAATCGCAAAAGTACATCACATTTAGTGCAAATGCAACTAATGATATAAGTTTATATACTGCTTTGTAAACTTTCCATACCTTTGTAAAATAAAGCTATCCTATTAAATTAATAAACTTGCCCGTGTTCCAACAATTACCAGAAATGGCAAATAAGGAGTTAAACTCTTTATATTTTGGACATTTTTTTAAGTTCCCATCAGTGGCTATTGGTTGATTGTAAAAAGATGAAGTACATTTGAGGTATAAGATTTTGTTTTTTAATGTTGGTATATAAAATGCTCACTGGTGATATCGTAAAGATGTACAAGTTATCATCTTATTTGCCTTACTAACATTACCATATAGGCACTTTTCTACATATTCAAATGAACAGAATAACTCTGTAATAAGGCATATTCCATGCACACCATTAGAGAAAGGCAAATAAAAAGGGAAGAGTTATGGAGCATGAAATCTGCATGCGTGAGTAATCATGTGTTAGGTATGGTTTCATCTCTACAGAGAAGATGAACAGAGAAGTTTTTCAACACTGAATCATTTACCAAATCTTCACTAAATTACTGTAATATATCTCTTTTCAGGCACCTAGCACTATATCTAATAAATCTGACTTTCAGCTTTCTTTTGAAGAAAATATATCTGAAACTTTTTCCCTCAAGATATAGAGTTTAGTAAAACACCAAGCAGTCTCTGAAGAGTTTCCAACTATAGGACATGGATAAAAGACCTCACAGTCAGTACTAGCCCGACACAATCCTCTCCTAACAAGTATCTCCAGAATCAAAGGCAGGCAAACATCTGACATTTATATTTTCACAGCAGCTAAAGGGAACTTTCCAGTAAGAACTACACATTCTTACAGCTCTGATGGGTTTTTGATCAAGAGGAAAATAATTTTCTACATGAACCTCATAGCACAGCTTTATTGAGATGAGGAAAACATGCTGGATCTGAAATAATGTATTCATCCTCAATCTAGACTGGGAATGTTGTTTCATATAATCCAAATTAATTCAATAAATATTATAGTGTACCTTCTCACAGCTTTGGGAAAGCCCCGGATATCATCCAAGAAAGCAGTCCACAGATAGCATGGACGATGTCTCCTAGGTTTTAGGCAGTCTCTTGCCCTCTCATACAGAATCTTTCTAGATATTTCTGGATCATGTTTAATAACAAAAATTCTGCAGCACATATTACATAACTAAAAAATACAATAGAAATATAAAGATATCTGGAAAAAATAAAGCTTTTCACACTCTTACTCCTTCAGAACTAAAGATCGTCATAAGAGTAAGACAATAGAAAAGGCAAAGTCATAAGGATATTGACAGCCCTCAGATATTAACTGGCATTTTATGTAACAAGATGATTCATTATAGAAACCAGCAGCAATGAACTGTGATTATACAAAGCAAAACAAAACTTACCAACAAGTTACCTAGGTTTTACTAAAGCCACTCCTTTCAACACCCCCAAAATACCACACAGATTTTTGTGCATATAAAGCACATACAGTATGCCATATGTGCATTTGTTTCTTGTGCTTTTTACACATGCACAAAAACTGCACAAGTATCTTAGGAAGGCTGACAATGAAATTCTACAACTTGTTTAAAATTAACACAGTAGCCCATGTTG